ACCCTTTTCGAGTGAGGCCATTGCCATTGTGCAGGGGGAGTGTCCAAGGTGTGCTCAGTCTTGGAGGCAGGCAGCCTTCAAGCAGAAAGTGTGTTTTGGTATTATAATGAAGCAAAGTTCGTCTAAGGTTCAGGATTTCTTCATCCATGTTACGGCAACAGTTGCGATCCATCTTTTCTGACAGTGGCTGTGGGGTTATCTCTAACAGCTCTGGCTGGGCCCAGGGACTGAACAATAGCCCAGCGCCACCTGCACCTCACAGTCAGTGCTCAGGGGAACAGCCCAGCGCTGCCTGCACCGCACAGTCAGCGCTCAGGGGAACAGCCCAGCGCCGCCTGCACCTCACAGTCAGCACTCAGGGGAACAGCCCAGCGCCGCCTGCACCTCACAGTCAGCGCTCAGGGGAACAGCCCAGCGCCGCCTGCACCTCACGGTCAGCGCTCAGGGGAACAGCCCAGCGCCGCCTGCACCTCACGGTCAGCGCTCAGAGGAACAGCCCAGCGCCGCCTGCACCGCACGGTCAGCGCTCAGAGGAACAGCCCAGCGCCGCCTGCACCTCACGGTCAGCGCTCAGGGGAACAGCCCAGCGCTGCCTGCACCTCACGGTCAGCGCTCAGGGGAACAGCAGTGCACTCTCTGTGCCATTCAGGAGCCTTGGCACCACATTCCACTCCAGGGATCGGCAACTGTGTTCCAAACAGGCTGCTGTCGGGTACCTCACTGTCCATGTCCCCGATCTCAGGGCTGAGACAATGCTGATCTGACTGACTTACAGACTGCAGTAGGGACTTGGTCAATCCCATCTGTATAAATATATTAGAAACAAATCTATGATCTCCTGGAGGGGAATAGGGGCAGGTGTCCTCTCTCCACCCCTGTGAGCGCACCGAAATTACCTCTTGTTTGAGCTCACCACCAGTGAAACTACACCCGGTTTAACAATGAGGTCCTTCTAATTACAAGCACTTCCTTGCTCTTATTTTGTGGCTGTCTGGCTGCCAGCGCCTGGGTGTCTGCGTTGAAACCCACGTCCCTTTCTTGTGACTCTTCGCTCTGCGTGCAGGACTCGGAACACTGGTGAGAAACTGGGCTTTTCTGTCACGTTGCCCCACCACTCTTCCTGTGCCCAGACCGCGGGCACTTCCTCACCAGTTTGTCAGCTTCTGCTTCTCTGAACTTGGCTCCGAGGTCTACATGCTTATCACTGGTGAGGAGCTATTGGGCCAAAGGGGTACAAGCTGCGGGTTGGATCTTGCTTGGCTCTGGAGAAGTACTGCCTTCTTGCAGGGGGTCCATGCTGAAGATTTGTCTCCTTTTAACTTTTATTCCTGTTTTTTTCCTCCTCTCGTTGTGCCTTGTCTCTCCCCCCATTCCTGCCATATGGTTTAGCTCGGTATAGATGCCAGCCCCTGCTTCTAGTAAAGATAAACCTGTTGCCTGTGCTGTTTGCAGCGTGGGAGCAGGGCAGGCAGCAGGCATCTGCCCAAGCCCGGAGCCAGCAAACAAACCCACCCTCTGCCGGCTGCGGGCTCCCGGGAGGGAGCCTGATATCTCAGCCAGGGTTACTGAAGCTCCTTGGAACAGGGATCGAGGCAAGGGCAGAGCAAGTCACGAGATGCTTGCCCTCTTGCTCGTTCCCATCCTGTGGGAAGAGGAAGGGAAACAGCTTTGCTGGATTCTCCAGAGAAGCTTAGGAAGGAATTTCACGGTCCCCATCCTTGTTTCCATCCTCTTTTTCCATCTCTGCCCTGTGACAGCTGCCAAACAGAAAAAGGAGGTGGCTATGCCAGGTAGGAATCTCTGCCCTTCTCCCTGCACCTTGAAGCTTGCGTGCTGTGCTCTGTCGGGTGGCTTTTCAGCCACAGAGAGAAAACCCAAATTATCCTTCCTCTGGCTCTGCCTGCTCGGCAGCTGGATGTGGAGGCACCGGATGCAAGGAGAGGTCCTGGGGTGGACATGGGCCCTTTAGCCATCCTCAGCCATTCCTGGTGCCATCCTACAAAGATGCAGGGCTGTGCCAACCCTGCCTGTGGCTGTGCTGGCAGGGCAGGCCCCTCCTTGTCGCTGAGAGGGACAGACTTCAGCCAAATCTCTGGGGAGCTCCAGCTTCCCAACATACCCCACTCTGCACCACGGAGCCAGCAGGAAACTGGAGGAGCGTGTGTGAAACCTTGGCAGATCTCTACAGTCTCTGCGTGCTGCCACGCTGCTGCCCCTGGCCTAGAGGGTAGGGCTAGGGGACCCCATCTCTTGGGGGGGCCCTGCCAAGCTCCAGGCCGGGGTGTGCAGGCATGGCCAGGTCCCGCCTTTTATTCGGGCAGCGGCTGCCTTGGCCTTTCATCTGCCGAAGGCGGGGGTGCAGCCTCCCCTGTGGAATCAATCCCTTTTTCCTGCTCCTCTCCCTCTATCTCTGTTTAGAAAACAGGGGAACAGCTAAGGGAAAGGCAGGTGTGCAAACAGCTCTCGCAGCTTCCCTCTACCCAGGCCCCTGTACTCTTGGCCTGCAAGGAGATAGTAAAACAATACTTTCAGAGCCTTCTGGTAACAGCTTTTTCTCTGGCTCTCCAGCCGCTCTCGAAGGGTGGGATCCGAATCCGTATTGTTCCCATCGTGCCTGTGTGCTGGAGCCTGGTGTTGCTGTCTGTGCACATCTCACCCTCTGCTTTCCCCCTTCTCAGGGCTGCACGCCCATCTCTAGCCAGACCAACTCCAAACACAGTTTTGGGGTTACTTTGGTGGGTTTTGGGGAGCAAGCTGCCACCCTAGGAGTACCCAGCCCTGAGCAGACCCGGCGGATGGAGGACAGTGTGGCAGGGATGCAGCTGAAGGAATGTGCCCACGTTATTCCCACAGTAACGTTACATGAGGGACCTGGGGCGAAGCAGAGGCCTCCGTCTGCGCTGGGTTTGAAGCAAGTGTCCTGTACTGGATGCCAGAGACAAAGGAGAGCTAATAAGAAGCTCATTAAATTGCTGCTGGATGTATTTTCCACTGCAGACTAGTTTCTCCTGCCACAAGCTTCTCCCACTAACTGCTGTTCCAGGCAAAAGCGTTTTCCTGATGTTTGTACATTCATTTATATATAGCCTTCGAAACGACGGAGCTCGTTACCCTCCGTCTCCGATGAATAGGTTTTCCTGCCTGTGTGCCATGTCCCACCATGCGGGATGTGTGGGAGGAGGCCAAGGATAACACAGCCCTTCAATGGTCCCTTAGTGCTCCTGCGGAGGCTCGGGAAGGGAGCGCTCTGCCCTCGTCTAAGCACCCCTCTGCCTGCTCCTGCTGTAAAGGAGAGCAGGGCAGTTGTGTTTGCTAGGTGCCTCTAACATACTGCTCCTTGAAACAAAGCCTCAGCCTGAATTCCCAGCATAGAGGGGAAAAGCAAAGCCCCCCTGCCCACGGGAGACCCAGGCTTTGGTGCAGTGCTGGCTCCAGAGGGTGACTTCTGTCCTGGCTTTGTGACGTGTTTGCGTTCAACCACCCGCTTACAGGTTTTATCCTCTTCCCTTGGCTGTTTGCTTCACCTCACAGAGAGCTCTGACCTTGCTTGGCGTTGACGGCTTTCCAGTGGATCCAAGGCTGTGGCTCAAGTTCAAAGTGCCAGGTGTGAGGGTCTGCTGTGGGAGGGAAAACGAGCCCAGGGAGTCCTGGGTCACTGCTGCCCTCCCCCAGCAAGCGCTGTGCTTGGGTCACAGACCAGCCTCCTGCTTGGGGCTTGCCCTCAGGCGAGTCCCCTGCGAGTAGCTTAGTTGCTTCACTTTGATGTGGGCTTGAAGATGCTGCATCAGTTTAAGTTGTGCCTGAAAACTGAGGCTTTCCGGGTGGAAGCTGGATTTCAGTGGCTTTTCTGAGGGTATTTCCCTACTTAAAAATAGCTCCTCTAAGGAATTGAGTATATAAACTGGGCTTGAGATACTAATTGCTGGAGGAAGAGTCAGTTTAGGCGTGAGGATCTGGAGGTAAATGAGTGCCGGGATGTTGCAGCATGAGCTGGGCACTCGGGTGAGATCCAGCATGGGGAGGAGGGCGGTGGGAACGGCTCTGCAATGGTCCTGGTACCGGCTGTGCATCGCTTGCACAGCTTGTGTTTTCTGTGGGATGTTTGGGATGGACTAAGGCAAACAAGGAGCGGAAGCGTGCAGGAGGAGGATGGGGCTGTTCCTCCCACAGGAAGCCCTGGATAAGACACTGGCTGGATTGTGCGGCCGTTGCCATCACGCTGCTGGACCCCGTGGCTGAGCAGGGCCCGGCAGCTGCGCGGAGCAACAGCAACACATTCAACCCAGCGGCTCTTGGCAGAGGAGCCGGGGCCGGTTACAACACAAGGAGTGAAAATAAACACAAACACTGTAACTGGCAGCGCTCTAATGGGAAGGAGCATGAGCACAGGGGCCGGCAGAAAGCCATCGGTCTTGCAGATGGCTTGCATGGGCCAGGGGCTTTCAGCCACTGCCTGCTGCTGCCTGGAGCCCTGCTCCCCCAGCATCTCCCACTCATGGGCACAGAGCTGCTGTGCCCTGATCAGCTGCTGCTCTTGATCCGAGCTCTGCTTGGCTGGGTGGGGAGGGAGGGTGAAGCCAGCCCTACCTGAATCTTTCTGGTGGTGTTGGCTCTGCCAAACCCGGCCTTGGCTACAATCATGACATCCCAGGGCACTAGTGGCTCCGGGGGACATTGTCTGGGGTGGTGTTTCTGCTGTAGGACTTGCAGGCTGGGGAGCCCAGGCCCCTGGGTGGCATCTGGGCTGGTCTGCGGTCTGTTTGCTGGGCTTTCAGTACAATTCCAGTGAAATTTTGCTTTCTTGAGACCTGAGTGTTTATATGTTACAGTGACCTTTAAAAGGCCCCGGGTTCTGCTCATCTCCCTGGATAAGGAGAGAAGGCAGAGCAGGACTAGCGTGGTTACACACCGCCCTGCTGCTGGCGTGCTCCTGGGGGATGTTTGGGATGGACTAAGGCAAACAAGGAGCTGATGTGGGTGTTTGTCCCTTTGTCCCACAGGCTAGCAGGAACAGCCTGGTAGGGTCCATCTCGGATAGACGCGGATGATGCCAGAGCTATGACAGGGATTGCAGTCTTGGCACTGAGGGGTGATCAATTATGGAACAACTACAGGAGGAAGTACCTGAGGTCAAGGAAGAGGAGGAGGAAGAGGCAGTGATAGTGGCAAGCGGAGCCTCGGATCCAAGTGGAGGACCAGACAGCTCGCTGCCTTCGAGCAGCTACACAGGTGAGTGGACCTTCCCTGGAGTATCCCGGCATCCACATGCTCTGGGCAGCATGCTCAGCTGCAAGAGCAGAGGAGCTGCCCCTCAGTGGAGTTTAGTTTGGTTTAATCCCTTCCCTCTGTGAAATAATGCATTAAGAGCCAAGTTATAGAGAGGCTTGTTTCTTCCTCTGCGGTCACCGCACAGCTGCTGGCAGTTGGTTGGGAGATGGATATTAAAAGGACAGTGCTCCAGAGTGAGGGGACTCCCAAGGTGCCAGAGAATGCTTCCCTGGCCACTTCTTGAAGTCCTCACTGAAAACTGATTGTAGGAGCTCGGGGAGAGGGTTTGATGCTGCTGAAGAGGCTCCTCCAGAGCTCCGGGTGTTCCAGCTGGGCAGCCCTGTGCCAGCCGCCGGCCAGCTGGGGATTATAAAATTTGCTGGTTGGGTTTCATTGCCTAGATGTGAATGCCAGAGGGAAGAAATCAGCATTGATGCGGAGTCTGTCAGCCGCTGGGCGCACTGGGGCCACTTGGCTCTGGGCATGGCATCTGCCTGCAGCCAGTGCCTGATCTCGGGGGTTAACAAATCCCTCATCAGCCCCATGGCTGGGGGAGTTGGACACCACGCTGGGCTTGGGGCTACTCCACCAAAGGACGTTTCCCTTTGTGCATTGGCAGACCTTTCGCAAAGCTCCTCTCCCTCCCTGTCGGACCAACTGCAGATGGGCTGTGAGGAGGCTGCCTTGGGAGCACTGAACGTGGAGTGCAGGGTCTGCGGAGACAAAGCCTCGGGGTTTCACTACGGCGTGCACGCCTGTGAGGGCTGCAAGGTATGTACGCCCTGGGGAGAGCAGAGATTAGACTCCAGGGTCCACGCCATCTCTCCAGACAAGCAGATTTGCAGCAAACCAGAGATGCAGGATTGAGTGAGTGTACAGAAACTCATTTGCAACGTGTCCAGGGTGTGGGGACCACAGGCAGGCATACAAATCCCATCCCAGAGGGAGGCAGCTGAGATGCGTATGGCCCAAATCTTGCCCTGTCATGCTTTACTTTGTAAGGCAAATCTCTCCGTCCCCGCAGGGACCCTAGCTTTGCTTTTAAAGATACTTTCTGTGCTGTAGATCAGCAGCGAGCTGTGTGTTTATCCCCCTGGGATCACTGGCCGCAGCTTGGATGTGTCTCTGAAATTCTTTCCCCGCAGCAGATGCCAGCGGGGCTGCAGCAGCAGCCCAGGTCCTGCCAGACATTCCTGCAGGCTGGGGCCGGCCCGCAGCTCGTTCCTCCATCCCTCCCTGCTGGCTGCCTGCAGTATCACACACGGGGCTCGCCGGCACCGCACCGTGGGCTGCCTGCCACGGTTCCTCCTCTGCAGCCCCCTTCTCCAACCGCACCACCTTTTCCTGAGACAGAGACTCTGCTTGTGTCGAGACCCAGGGCTCCTCCTCGCCCCCCGGCAGAACCTCCATGAGGCTTCTGGGGGTAATAAACCAGCCTGGTCCCAAACCACAGGTGCTAGCACTGCTGTTCCCTTATCCCCCTGCTCCACATTCCCCTCTGTGCCATCTGCCTGCAGGGTTTCTTCCGCCGGACGATCCGCATGAAGCTGGAGTACGAGAAGTGCGAGAGGAACTGCAAGATTCAGAAGAAGAACCGGAACAAGTGCCAGTACTGCCGCTTCCAGAAATGCCTCTCGCTGGGCATGTCACATAACGGTGAGTGTCACCACCGGCCACAGGCCCGGCTGGCCACAGGGCTGTCTGCCCTTCTGTGAAGGCTTTGCACAGGGGGGCTCTCTGTAGCTTGCTTTGTCCCGTGGCTCTCTTCTTGCTAGAGAATCATCTTTTTGACTCTTCATTCCTTTCTCCTGTACAAGAAGGGGCTGTTCATTCCCACCATACAGGCTGACTGCCGGCACGTGGCTGTCCCTTATAGGTTAACCCAGAGGGAGCTGGACACACAGATTGCTCTTCTGTGCTGGGATTTTTTTAAAACTCCAGGTGTAACCATCTTGTTACTGGCCAAGCAGAGGTGTTCATGTGGGAAGCAGGGTTTGTGCAGCAGCCCAGAGGAGTGGCGATGGGGCTTAGTGCGAGGCTGTGTTGGCATGGGCAGCAGAAATGGCTCGTGGTGTCGATGCCCGAGGAGCTGCAGCCCTGCAGAAGCACCATGTTGTGCAGCTGCAGGGGTTCACCAGCAGATCTCTGGCTGCAGTGGCAGAGCAAGCTGCTGCCTCCCTGCACACCTCTCCTGGGGTCCTCCCCGGTGTCCTGACCCGACAGCTTTGCCCCCCGCAGCAATCCGCTTCGGCCGCATGCCGGAGGCAGAGAAGAGGAAGCTGGTGGCGGGGCTGACGGCGAGTGAGATCAGCTGCCAGAACCCACAAGTGGCCGACCTGAAAGCTTTCTCCAAGCACATCTACAATGCCTACCTGAAAAACTTCAACATGACCAAAAAGAAGGCGAGAGGTATCTTGACCGGAAAGGCCAGCAGCTCCCCAGTAAGTTCCCTCCCCAGGGCAGGTGGGGTTGGCCATGATTGAGGTGGGGACTGCTCTCTGGGAGATGCTGCCAGTTCCCTGCTGCAGCCGGGTTGGCTCTACGTGTCCAGCTCCTGGCTGGGAGAATTCCCGCTACTCTGCAGATTTTTGCTGTTGTGGGTGGGTACAGATTGTCTGGGCACTGTCATCCCCAGTGGGGAGAGAACGGCAGAGGGACAGAGAGACGAATGCGAGTGGCCTTGGCAGAGCAGTCCTGGCTTGTGTCAGCACTGGTGTGGCCAGCAGGGACAGGGAAGGGATCTGAGCCCTGGGCTCGGCACTGGGGAGGCCACCCCTTGATGAGTGGGTTCAGTTTTGGGCCCCTCACCCCAAAAAGGCCATTGAGTGACTCGAGCGTGGCCAGAGAAGGGCAACGGAGCTGGGGCAGGGTCTGGAGCACAGGTCTGCTGGGGAGCAGCTGGGGGAACTGGGGGGGTTCAGTCTGGAGAAGAGGAGGCTGAGGGGAGACCTCCTGGCCCTCTGCAGCTCCCTGCCAGGAGGGGGCAGAGAGGGGGGATGAGTCTCTGGAGCCAAGGAGCCAGCGCCAGGCCCCGAGGGAATGGCCTCAAGCTGCCCAGGGCAGGGTCAGGCTGGCTCTGAGGAAGGATTTCTGTGCAGAAGTGGCTGTTGGGCGTTGGAATGGGCTGCCCAGGGCAGGGGGGAGTCCCCGGGATCCCTGGAGGGGTTGAAGAGTCGGGCTGAGCCAGCGCTGAGGGATCTGGGGGAGTTGGGAACGGTCAGGGTGAGGGTCATGGTTGGGCTGGAGGAGCTTCAAGGGCTTTTCCAACCCGGATGATTCTAAGATTCTGTTATTTGGAGTCCCCACGGCAGGTTCCTAACTGCTTGCTTCTTTTTCAAGCAGCCTTTTGTGATCCACGACATGGACACCCTGTGGCAGGCAGAAAAGGGGCTGGTGTGGAAGCAGCTGGTGAATGGCATTCCCCCTTACAAGGAGATCGGGGTGCACGTCTTCTACCGCTGCCAGTGCACCACAGTGGAGACTGTGCGGGAGCTCACCGAGTTCGCCAAGAGCATCCCCAGCTTCATAGGCCTCTACTTGAATGACCAAGTGACTCTGCTGAAGTACGGGGTGCACGAGGCCATCTTTGCCATGCTGGCCTCTATCATGAACAAGGACGGGCTCTTGGTGGCCAACGGGAACGGTTTCGTGACCCGCGAGTTCCTGCGTAGCCTGCGCAAGCCCTTCAACGAGATCATGGAGCCCAAATTTGAGTTTGCTGTGAAATTCAATGCGCTGGAGCTGGATGACAGTGACCTGTCGCTGTTTGTGGCTGCCATTATCCTGTGCGGAGGTGAGCGGGTGCTCCTGGCCATGTGGGTGTCAGGGAGAGTCCTCCCATGCTTAGAGGTGGTTGGGGCTGGGCTGGCGGGAGCTGAGCTGCAGCTGGCCCTGAGATCAGCCAGGGGTGTCTTAGGGGGCTGAGAGAAGAACCGAATGGTTCCAAAACCAAAGCTTTTCAGTGGCGGTGATGCCTGGCAAGCTTGGACCAAGAACAAGGAGTGTAGAAGCGGCATCTCCTCATGTGCTGCTGGGGGATATGTTGTCCAAGGGCACACTTCTCCCCTTGTCTAATTGACAAGGTTGGAGTCACGGTGGGTGGGTTACAGTCCCGGTCTCCCTTTCCCCAGGAGGAACATGTGCTTTGGAGGGCTACACCGTAACCCTACAGCTACCCTGCTTCCTCTCCACAGACCGTCCCGGCCTGATGAACGTGAAGCAGGTGGAGGAGATCCAAGACAACATCCTGCAAGCGCTGGAGTTTCACCTGCAATCTAACCACCCGGATGCCCAGTACCTCTTCCCCAAGCTGCTGCAGAAGATGGCCGACCTGCGGCAGCTGGTGACAGAGCACGCCCAGCTGGTGCAGAAGATCAAGAAGACGGAGACAGAGACATCTCTGCACCCGCTGCTGCAGGAGATCTACAAGGACATGTACTAAGGACCTGTTATTTATGAGAATGAAGCCATGGATTCCCATCAAGACTCTTTGTACAGAAACAAAGAAAACCTTTCCCCACGTCTTCCATTTCTTCTACTGGAAACTTTTTTTCTACGTGACCCTGACGTACGGTACATAGGGCAAGATGCCGTAAGATTTTGCAGCCACCACCTGCTAGGCCAGGGCTTCCGTTAACACACACTAACAAATTTACAAAGGCAAATCATAAGCTACTGTTTCCGTTACTATGGCTCAGCTCTTCAGCTGCTCCCTGGGGCCTCTGGAGCGGCCGACTGGTTTACGTGGCCCGGGCAGTGGGGTTTCTGCAGCAGCCTGGGGTCAGTGGGGGATGCTCTGGTCATCAGGAGACCCGAGCGCAGGGCGGGTGGCCGGTGGGGCCAGCAGCAGCGCTTACAGCGTGTCTTTATTTTCTTTTTTGTGTTGCACTCCGAAGACATAGTCCTGAGCCGTCAAGTCTAGGACAGCGTATAATGAAAGGATGTTTCTCTCTTTTCCAAAGAAAAGCCAGAGTATTTCAAGACGGGTAGGACTGTCCTAGCAGAGACCCACAGCTGCAGCACCCCCTCCCTGCGTGGCGTATTCCTGTCTCCCAGAGGGGTTGTGTGATCTCTGTGGGAGCCCTCGCTCCTGGTATCCCCATTCCAGAGGGAGCCTCCCCTCGGCACCTCAGTGTGAGAGAGGGAGGGATGGGCAGGTGGGAGGGAAAGGCTTTGACTCATAAAAATTCACCTTCAGAGCAGAGGCCAGAATCTGTGGGCTTCCCCAGTCTGGTCTGAACAGGCAGAAGTTAACCAAGAAGGTCTGTGCAAGGCCGAGGGCTGGTCGGGGTCATCCTGCAGGTCCCTTCCCCAGCCCCGGGGGGCTCCGGGGGTTTCGCAGGGCAGTGCAGGCAGCAGAGGCTCCTGTGAGCACCCAAGCAAGCAAAGCCTTCAGCCTCGCCGGCAAGGGGAAAGCCCCAGCCAGCCTGCAGTGTTCACGATGCTGAAAGGACGTTGACCTCTCTGTTATCTGCCCTGCCTCAGCCTCCCTTCTTGGAGGGAGCTGGATTGTCACTCTTCTCGGAAGGGGAGCACAAGGATCAGCAAGCACATTGGTTGCAGAGCTTTGCAGCTGTAAAATACAGTATAAATGCCAAGTATTTGTAAAAGGAGGGAGAGGGTGGGATGCTCACAGTGAGCAGGAGCTTCCTGGCGAGCATGGCCGTGTCAGGGAAGCTGCCCTGTCCTCCTGGGCCACTGTCCCGAGTGCGGGGAGAGTTCCAGGCCTCGGGGTCTGCCTACACCCAGAGCCCTTCTGGGACTTCACCTCATTGTAGCTTCTCACAGCTGGAGTGAAACACTACGGTGGCACCGGGACAGGACCCCTGCGCCACCCGGGCTCCGGGAGAGAGGACGGACCCGGGAAGGGCTTGGTCCCCTCTCGGGACGATGGTGTCTGGCCTAAGAAGTGGCACTTACCCATCTGCAGCTCGTAGTTCTGTGTGCCCCGAGCAGCCTTATTAAAATACTGATACTCCCAAGGAGGGGTTGTGGGAGCAAATTAGTCGGTTTTATTTTATTTTCCTCCTCTTCAGGGTAGCAGATTTCCCTGGTGCAATAATTCCTTTAAAACCCGCAGGTGAAGAGCGCTGGGCTTCCCCTCCGTGTCACAGGGCTAACTGGTCCCAAACCTGCCCCTGCTGCCACCCTCCAGCTCCTTGCTGTGCCTCAGTTTCCCCACCCTCTGCCCGCCCAGCCCCTTCCCCTCCCTACCTCGCAGGGGTGTTATAAATTACCGTTTCTGAAGCACTTTGAAGCCCTCTGGGGGAAGGCACCGGAGACGTGTGTATGCTGGATGGACCCTGGGGGAATTGTCCTTCACGAAGCCCCCCGGTGGCATTCCCCACCGTGGCCGGCGTGCGGGACTCACGTGCTTATCACCAGGGGAACTTTTTGCTCTTCCCTCAACAGTGTAACAACCCTCAAACTGAAATGTATATTTTTGCTAGAAATACAAACTTCCAAGTGTTTTTAATAATATAAATAGTGTCCACAAACTGACTTGACTTTAAATAAATCTGAACTAAATATTTAAGAACCTTTCAGCAGCCAGCCTGCCTTTGTGGGATTTCTCTTGGCTCCTGGGGGGCTGCCCTTGGGAGGGTTTCCAGCAGAAGCAATGGGATTTGCTGGGATTTCCAGGGATTTGCCATGATTCCCAGGTCTCGTAGCTCCTGTGGTTTTCCTACCATCAAACCTAAAGGCAGCGAGAACTGTTCATGAGTAGGGTCCCAGCCTCGGAGCTGAGCGCTCCCTGTCCCACATCTTTGCTGTAGCCTTCCTGTGGGGTGAAGATGGGCAACGAGCTGAGCCCGGCCATGGCCACCCCAAGATGGGCGAGGAAGGGCTCAGGGACATCCCAGCCTTGTGCTGGCACCGACTCTGCTCTCAGCCAGGTCTGAACACCCAAGAGTTTGTAGGGAGTGGCTGCAGACCCCCAGGTTTCCATCTACCCTCCCAGTTTGAGTGCCCCCCGGGGAAGCTGTACCATTGCCCCCAGCCTTTGCCACACATCATGGAGCACGGAGAGCCCCGAGGGTCCAGCCAGGGTCAGGGGAGCAGCAGGGCAAGGGTGAAGCCGACGTGATGGTGGGGAGCAGCAGCGTCCCCCAGCCAGCTTTACCCCTAATTAATCAACTGAGCATGACATCCTATGGTATAAAATATCCCTTTGGCCAGTTTGGGTCAACTATCCTGGCTGTGTCTCCTCTCAGCTACTTGTACCCACCCTGCACCCCCCCGCCCCCATCCCAGCCTCCTCACTGGCCAGGCAGTATGAGAAGCTGAAAAGTCCTTGACTTAGTGTAAACACTGCTCAGCAACAACTAAAACTTTGGTGTGTTATCAACGTCATTCTCATACTAAACCCAAACCACAGCATTGTACCAGCTACTAGGAAGAAAATTAACTCCATCCCAGCCGAAATCAGGGCAGCACCCAAGGCCATAAATAGCCCTGGGAGGTAGCCCAGCCCTCTTGGCTGCTGGGAAGGAGATGGAGCCGGGCTCACGAGTGGCATCTGAGGCGTTGAGGGCCCGGGGGCGCTGTCTGAGGCCACTATGCAGGTAGGGTTGAAGTGGGGGGCGGCTGGGAGAAGGGGGAGCTAGGCTGGAGATGGGGTTGTGATCCCCTCGCTGTGGGGGCAGAGTGCTTTGTGACTCCCTTGAACCCTCGGCCCCCCTGCCTGTTTCCCCTGGAGGGTGAGGGGCTGGAGGGGACAGACCCTGGCTGGCTGGCTCGCTCCCCCTCTGCAGCTGGGGGTCCCCTGCAGTACCCCAGCCAGGCACCCGCTCCCTGCCAGCCCCAACCCGAGGGTTCCTGCCCCTGTCTGTGCCCTCACGGGGAGGCAGGGGCTGCCCCAGCCCTCTGTGCCCCCAGTTTCTCTCTGGGCTCCCCCAGCCCCGGGCAGAGGCTGCTCAAGCCCCCTCAGCCAGCCCAGCCCTGGGCTTCGTTTGCTTTGCAATTAGCCAGGAGATAAGGCTGGATGGGGCAGGGAGGGCCCTGGCTTCCCGCTGGGCTCTGCCCTTGGTGAGGGCTCCTGAGCCCAGACACCATCCTGGGGGCTCCGAAAATATGGTCCCACGTAGGCAAAGCTGGTACTCGGGGGAGATTTTGGGGTGGCCGGTGGAGTGGGGCTGGAGGGGGTCTGACCCCCGGCCATGTGGCTTCTCTGGCCATCAGGAATTTTGCCCGCGGATTCTGTCGATGGGGCCAGAACTGCCGCTTCTTGCATGACAGAAAGTCAGCCCACATCTGCAGGTTCTTCCAGAGAGGGTTTTGCAGCTACGGAGAGCGGTGCGGGTAAGGAGTGGTGAGGAGGGGGCCTGGTGCCACGAGGATGGGCTGGGAGCCAGGAAGTGTTATGCTGGGCTGATGGAACCTTCTGTCTGTCTGTCCCTGGGCTCCTCCAGCTATGAGCACATCCAAGAGGAGCCGGTGCCTGTGGGGACCTGCTACGGCCCCGTGCCCCCCCTGCCCCCCAGCCGCTGGGGCTCGCCGCCTGGCCGTGCACTTGCGGCAGTGGCCCAGGGCTGGGGGGGAGCCCAGCGCAGCTCGGCACACCCTGTTCCCAACATGACACACATGGCCTTCAAATTCGCAAGCCTGGCGGTTGAGGAGGATGAGAAAGACAAGGACAACATCCCAGCACCCGATAACGTCCCTGGTGGGGCCACTGGCAGAGAATCTGCCCCTGCACAAGCTCAGGGTGCCTCAGGTAGGTGCTAGGCTGCCCAGAGGACGGGGATGCGGGAGAATCCTGCGCTTGCGTTTGCCCCTGACCCAAATCCTCCTCCCTCCACCTCTGGGCTCTGGAAAGCTCTTTTAGCAGCTTTTTTAGGGTGGGGACCTGAACTTCTAAGCCTATGTCCCCCCCTGAGCAGCCAGCCTGCCTCTCTGATGGTGGGGCAAGATGAGCTTTTCCCCTCTAAGAGCTCTCCTGCCTGCAGGCTCCCAACTGCAAGGGCTGGAACTGGATCCAAATTCTCCTGACCCCGGCGAGGCAGCGGCAGAGCCAGCGACATGGACTGTCCCTGCGGAGGTGGGACTGGGGGGTCTCCTGCAGCCAGGCTGTCCCTGACACCCTGCGTCAGTCCCGTAGGCCGGGGCAGCGAGGGAGCCAGGGGGCTGCAATGCTGCTCTGCTTGCAGGTCCCCCAGGAGCAGGGGGCTGCGGCAGCCAGGGTCCCCCTGGGAGTGCTGAAAGCCCGGAGCGAGAATGTGGTCTGCGGCATCTGCATGGATCGGGTGTACGAGAAGCGGGCACCGAACGAGCGGTATTTTGGGATCCTGCCGAACTGCAGCCACGCATACTGCGTGGGCTGCATCCGCAAGTGGCGCCGCAGCCGGGACTTCCAGAGCACCGTCATCAAGTGAGTGGGGGTGGGGACGTGGCAGGGGGGTCACTGTCACCCCTTCCGCACCCTGAAATCCGTCCTTGGGTCTGGCAATGTGGCTTTGGGATTGGAGTGGCTTCCCTTTGGGAATGGGCGCTTGGGAGCTGTGATGGGGACAGGGATGTTGGATGAGGCCGTGGTGGTGGGAACAGCCATCATGGGTGCTGAGCTCCCAGCTCCCTTTTCGGGACACCCATCTGCACCCTTCACCTTCACCCAGGGCCTGCCCAGAGTGCCGGGTCACCTCCAGTTACTACATCCCCAACAAATACTGGATCTCGGATGTGGATGAGAAGAAGCAGCTCATCGAAAATTTCAGGGCCCGGACAGGGTGAGTGCATGGCACTGTGGGCTGTGTGCCACTCTGGGAGCTGCACTTGCAACTGTGCTTTGAATCCCACAGGAAAATCAGGTGCAAGTTTTTTGTCCAGAACCAAGGCCACTGCCCGTTCAATTCAGAATGCCTCTACCTGCATGAGCTGCCCCCCAACCAGCTGCCGCAGCGAGCGCAGCAACTACCGAGCATGACCGTGGTAAGGGGGGTGTCCCGGGTGGGGGGAACGGGGCATGGCAGCTCAAGGCCAGGGCTCATCCTCCCTCCTGTGCGGCAGGAGTTCGGCCGTGCTCCCCTGGAGAGATCTGGTGAGGAGGACGAGATGTTCTGCATGCACGAATGGGCCCTCACACTGACCTTGACTGAGACCGGCTTTCAGCGCTCGATTTACGGCCCTGAGATACTCGTTATCAACTTAGACTCTGATTAAGCCGTGGGGTGCCCCCCTTGGCCTCCTTGCTGTTGGCAGCGAGGAAACGTCTTCTGGGAGGTGGAAGCATCTGCTTTTGATGTGTTGAGCTGCTCCTGGCATTGGTTTGGGGTGACTCCAGGCATGGGGGGGTGTTGGAGGGAGTGGGGAAATAAGTCAGAGTGGTGTTTATGAACCATCCCTGTGTCGATGGCTGAACCCCGGCAGGTCTCACATCCCCGCACTCCTCCAGGAAGCCTGGGGGTGTGTGACAGAGACACAGGAGTCTCAGAACACTGGGGCACAGCCCGCCCCCCACCCCCTGCTTCTCTGCACCCATGGGAGACCTCGTGGGAGCCGGGGCAGGGGGCTGGGCTGGGTGCCGGGGGGGCAGTGAGGGCTTTTAATGCACATGGGACTGAGGCGGGGGTGGGGGATGGCTGGGCAGCTCTGGGGCACTGTTTTAAACTGCTTTTAGCCAAAACTGGAAATTATAGAATAAAATAGTCTGTGTACGGTAACACTGCGTGGGGGCTTTGCTTCCGGGGGGCGGGAGGGGGTGGGGAATACACCACC